ACGGCCTAAAACCATCCTCGCTGCAGGCAGTTTAAGGAACTACATCAGGGGGTCAAGGTAGCCATAAACCAGTCCAACCTTATTCTCCTTCAAAAACTGTCAAGGTACGTTAAAAGGAAATGCCCCTGAAGGGGAGATATTTGGGGTTTCTAATAAAATAGCATATGTACATTTTATCCAACCACAAATCGTTAGCGTTTAATTAAGTTTTATTACTGAGCTATTAGGAAAAGAATTCATTAGCACGGGTCGGATCAATAATACCCGCTCCCTCCCTCACTGCGGGCTAAGCACATTGAAAGAAGTTGAAATTAATATGTGGGCGGCAATAAAAAATATTATCGCAATATGAATTAGGTTACTCGGGTCTATTTAGCGAGCCTCCATGGGAAAAATCGCGTCCTCTAGTCCACACGTTGTGTAGTTTTTGTGGTTTTAATTACCCTGGGCAGTGCGTTTGTCAATCTTGTGGCCGATATCAGTGCTGATTAATATGTGTTCTCGAGGGTGATATAAGTTGCCACAGATAAATTGGCCATACTAGGAAAGCTTTCCAGCTAAGTTTGTTGAATTACACGCAATGAAGGGAAAAGATATTACTGAGACCCGGACAGCCTATTATATTATAGTGTCTGGAGGGAAAACACAACCTAGAACAGACATTATTCGTACGGGTACTGTTCACAGATGGTTGATTCATCGGTGTGGCCTAGCGGCCGTTGGAGGGGTTCGTGATTAAGCACCAAGAGATAGCGGCGCATGTGTTTTCAGTACCACGACCAGGGAGGGCCTCGCTACCATTATGTTTATTTCCGATCGAAAACGGTAAGACGACGAGACCGTGGCGCGGTTGGTAGAGCGTGGGTTTTCTAACTAACATGGTCGCGGGTTCGAGCCTCGGGAATCGTTCCCCCTGGGATTGGGTATGGTTGGTTAATAACAGCTAAAAAACCAGAAAGGGTCATTCCAGTTTCGCTGCTACGCGTTAAGCGGCTGCTGGTGGGGTTCGAGAGTGAACCTCAAGGTGCAACGGGACGAATGGGTTCCGTAGCCGAACGGTGAGCACCTATTTATCATTGTGTGTATTCCCAAGTACAACCAACAGAACGGCGAGCTCGTGGCTCAGTTAGCAGGGTATCAGACTCCTAACGACCAGGTTGCAGGTTCGGGCATGAAGTTCCACAACACCTGAGTTTTGGTATGGATGGCTGATGGCGACTAATAAGTCAGAACTGGTCATTCCAGTGTCTCTATCATAATACAAGTCAATGTGTCCCAAAGAAGAAGAGCGAAAACATCTGATTCGAGTGGGTGAAGTTTAGAAGACGGGTAAGGAGATTAGCAAATTATCCGCAATTGCATATTTCAGTCGAAGAATACAAGGATAGAAAAGTTACTAATGACTGTGGGAAAACGAAATGTTGTAGATGTGATGAAGAATTCTCAATGGATCTCAATAAGGCCTGGAGAAAATACTTACGGAGAAGGTGGAATGAATGGAAGCTCAAACAACAAGACGACAATTAGGATAAGGATAATAGGGGTAACGTGGTTGTGGTTGAGGAGGAGG